CGTTTGTTTGGCCACAAGCTATGGGTCTCAATTTGGAGCATGGCATGTTTGCAACCTATGTTGGTGTTGCGTAGTTATACTATTTAGGGTATAAACAAGAATCCGACTTTGGCCATACACTTAAAATGGTTCCCATCATCCAAATAAAAGGTAAAATCTTCAGCAATCAGATGGCTGCAGACTATTTTACAACCATCATCTTGTTTAATTCTATTCTGCAACATCTGTTAAACCTTTAATGTCATATTCCTTCGTCGGGGATCATACAAAGATATCACTGTTCTGTCTTCCAAATTTATTGATTGATATTTCAATAAGAAATCATTAAAAACAAATAAAATATAAATATTATGAAATAATCAGCAGATGTTAAAAATAAGTGAAGTTTCATATTAACAAAACATATCAGGACTTATGGTTTATTGAATTGTATGAACTGAATGTAATTGAGCTATAAGTAAACCACTGTGGAAATTTAAAGCCAAACCATGGGTAGGAGTCATACTTCAAATAAGTAAACACCTTTTAAAGGTAAAAGTTGTTTAATAATATATCAAGGAATGGTAAATATACATAGATTTACAATCTACACTGTACAGTGATTAACAATCACTGACCTTGGATCAGCCTTTCTTGCCAAGAGCAAAAATTTATCTTCAAAACTGTAGACTCACAGGTGATGTATTAGATTTGTGGTGAGAAAAATACAAACAGGAGGCTATGTGCTGATTTTTATCTAACCATTTGGACAAAATCTAAACAAGCTGATGCTTTTAAATCATTAATATTATTCTGACATATTGACATAGATACAGACTACAGGCTTTTTATTTTAGAGCGAATTTCTTCTCTTTAATGCTATTTCTCAATCACGATTGATTCATTGAACAAATACCTGCACACTTCCCTGCTAAGATGGTACATGTGAAGGTGGGGGCATGGGGTGGGATGCTGAGAGACGACTCTTGACTTTTTTGTTTAGAAAATGTAATTTCTTGTGTAGAGCAGTTTCCAAAATGTTTACTTGTAATGAATAATTAAGCCATGATAAAATAAAAAGATTATCTTCATACTGTAAATATAAGCTAATATGGGAAGTAAGGTGAGCTAGCGGTCTTCGCCTTCACTTGCTGTCTGGGAAAAACTTGTCTGCTCTGCTGTGGTCTAACCCACCAGGTGGGCTGAAGACTTTTATATAAATGGGGGGAGGATTCTGGTTTGCATGATATACTGATGATTAGTGGCTGCAATAATGCAGCAGAAACTCTAATATCTGTAGGGAAACTTACAAAGACATTCATATAAGGTGAAGGTGTAACTATTTAGCTACACATGTATAAAAATGACCATCAAAACATTATTAAAAAAGAGACAATTCTAGAATAGTAAACCTGGAATTTTTGACATGCAATTTCCAGGAAACATTGTTATGTCTTCAATTAAACCCTCAGATAACCGTTAAGGAACAGACACCTTTCAGTGCCCTGGCTTTACGAGAAGCAACGTTTAGTCGGCACAACAGGCTTCAGCAGGAATCGAGTTTCTTTAGAGATCAATGACCAACGACCTAAATACAGACAGACCAGTATCATTTGTGATTAAACGTTGCCTTCAGGCTGTTTGTGTAGGTCATGGGGGTGTTTACATTTAGGCAGAGGCAGCTGAAGTATTGATATGTTCCTCACATGTGACCAAGTGGCAGTAACCGCAGGGCATCAGGGACACAGAATGGCCTTTTGCTCTGCATGAACAGTGGGCCTGACATTTAACTGTTGCCATAGCTTTGAATTGTTAGCAGGCAAACAAATGTTTAGCAAACTGTTTCACTTTTCTTCATGAAAGAGCCGCAAAAGGTAATTATTTTGACAAGATTTTTCTGTGACAGATTAACAAAAGCAACATACAACTTTCAAGAAAAATACTTGGAGATTTTGTATCTCTCTTTTACAAACTCTATAAAATGCGACCTGTCTCAATACTGAATAGATGCTATGTTTTCTTCTATTAGATCAAGTCTTTTGGGTATGACTGCTGGTGTCATATCCAGAAACTTAATTTTGGATGGGTTGAAATTGATGTTCAATGAGTTATTTTATTTTAAAATTCCTTTTTGAATGTGTTGAATGCAAGTGTGTAAGTAATAAGTCAGCAATGGTATTTCTAGCTTACAATAGCAAAATGTGTTGATAGGTTCTTAGTCCAAGCTATAATAAAATAGGTGGGGGAAACAATAAAAAAAATGTATACG